CCTTCCCCACCAGATCAGCGTCCCTGTTCCTGGCCGTCATCTCATCTCAGCTCACCCCCATCGTGATCAATTTCACCTGGCTCGTCTCCAGCTTCATCCACAGCTTCCTTTCAGCCATGGCTGACATGGCTCCGCGAAACGAAAAGAGCCAATTGAAGCGTCCGCGCGTCAGTCTTTCCTCTCCTCTTCTCCTCTTGCCCTCGTTTTCCTGCGTTTGCGCTGCCGCTCGCTAGGCATCGTCCGTCTCCGAAGACTCCGTTGCGCGCGCAACGGCTGTCGCGCTCTCCTTATCTTGCCACCCGTGCTGACATCGCTATTCAGGGCTCGCTACCAGAGGACGAAACCGAAACCAAGAAGCCTCGTCGAGCCGAACATCTGACCCCCGGCGCGCCAGACAAGACTCCCGTCGCCAATAAGCAGCATCTCCCTTCCCCCGTCACACATGGCACCGAAGACTCTGGCGACCTCGTCAAGGAGGCCACCGTCACTCCTCCGGGGCAGCGCCAGCAGGAAATCACCCCAAAGAAGACCGAAGACGCCTTTTCCCAAGCCCAGGCGCTGTCCTCACCGCCACAGGACACCCAGCCGCTCAGCCAATTTGTCGATCGCCACCCTGCCATCTCTGATGACATTGAGGATGAGGTTCGCGAAGGTGTCTGGGGATACCTGGTTCCCCTCGACCCCAAATATGGCGACAAGCCTATTGTCCTGAAGAAGCGAAGTGCGTGTCCCTTGCCAGAGACAGTTGCCGATGGTGTCAAGAAAGAGGATGTGAGCAAGACCAACGGTAAAGCAGTCGCTTTGAAGGAAGAAGAAGCCTACGAGAAGAAGAAGAGCAAGGGCGTTCCCTCCGGTGGCTATTTGATAGGCCGCCATCCCGAGTGTGGTCAGTAAACTACCCGTCTTGTGTCACACGAGCACCACGGTTAACCAGAGCAGACATTGTCGTCAATGACGGAATTGTTTCGAACCGACACTGCCTGATCTTCACCGAGAACAAGGGCAACGACGCCGTTGCGATCGTCGAAGACCTCTCGAGCAATGGAACCTATGTCAATGAAGCCATCGTCGGCCGAAATCAGCGTCGCGAGCTAGAGGAGCAGGATGAGATTGCCGTCCACGGCAAGGCGCGCTTCGTCTTCCGCTACCCCCAGGCTCGCCAGACAAGCGACTTCTTGCAGCAGTACACACTTCTGGAGAAGCTTGGCAAGGGTCACTTTGCCGAAGTCTATCTCTGTGTCGAAAAGTCGACCGGCCAGCGATACGCTGTCAAGATCTTCACCAAGCACCCTGGCATGGAGGATCGCTCAAAGACGGAGGGTCTGCAGCAGGAAATCGGTGTACTGATGGGTGTCAGTCATCCCAACGTTCTCTGCCTCAAGGACACGTTCAACGAGCGCGACCGTGTCTACCTGGTGCTTGAGCTTGCGCCAGAGGGAGAGCTTTTCAACTACATCGTTATGAAGCAGAAACTCAGCGAGGACGAATCAAGGAAACTATTCTTGCAGCTCTTCCAGGGCATCAAGTATTTGGTAAGTGTCCTGCCGGATGTCTGTTCCGAGTCGAGAACTCATCATGTTTAGCACGAGCGCAACATTGTGCATCGGGATATCAAGCCCGAGAACATTCTGCTAGTTGACAAGAACCTCCATGTCAAGCTTGCCGACTTTGGATTGGCCAAGATTATTGGAGAGGAGTCATTTACGACTACGCTATGCGGAACTCCTAGTTACGTTGCTCCTGAGATTCTGGCCGACTCGAAGCAGCGCAAGTACACAAAGGCCGTCGACGTTTGGTCTCTGGGAGTCGTGCTCTATATCTGTCTTTGCGGTTTCCCCCCTTTCTCGGACGAGCTCTACTCGCGCGATTTCCCATTCACTCTGTCCCAGCAGATCAAGAGTGGACGATTCGACTATCCTTCGCCCTACTGGGATTCTGTTGGCGACCCAGCCCGTAAGATTTTCTGCCTTTTAGACGCGACCGTTTACTGACATGACTAGTTGACCTGATTGATTCAATGCTGATTGTCGACCCCGAGAAGAGGTTTACAATTGATCAATGTCTCTCACACCCCTGGCTCACCCAGAACGCCCCCAGTGTCAACGACAGCACTGGTGGCCTAGTGGGCGGTCTTGCAGGTCTCGAGGTCAACCGACGAGTGCCGGCTAGAGAGCGAACCCTCCTATCATCGATCAACTCGGTGCAGGTCACAGCCCAGCTCGAGGTGGGCAAGAACAAGAACCCTGTCAAGGTGTTTTCCAAGAACAAGGGTCGCGTTACCAACGTTGCTAAGGAGGCGGGGCCCGCTTCTCAACGAGCACCCCAAGAGTTCATGGAGCTGGGAGGTAAGGGCGATCAAGAACTCTTCGGAGATGAAGATTCGAGCATTTACCCAATAGGTGATAATGCCAACAAGGTCAAGGCGGGCAAGGCCAAGCGATAAGGTGGCAACAGTTTGCACAACATGGATTTTGGGATATGGGCGAGTCTGTAACTGGTGTTGGGTTTCTGTGCGATTGGCTGTATTGGATGGTTTTTGATATTGTTTGTGGTTCTACCTATAGAAGACGGGACTGGCCGCACATTGGGGTTTTGCACGGGGTTTCATATTTGGATTTTCATTCACGGCTGGGAGTCATCTGATTGAGGGTTTATCACTCAGTATGATGGCGGATGGATTCAGCTTGGATATATGGATGGGCGACCAACTATCGGTCGAGCCCATGATAACTTACACAACCTAACAAAAGTCTGGAGTTTGCTTTGCGTGGGTGTGGTTGAAAGTCCTTGTCGGCCCGTCCATTGATCCGTGCCAGCGCCCTCGCTTAGCGCCCACACATGGCAGAAAAAATGGCGGGGTCCAGTGGGAGAAGTCGAGCCCCACTAGAGAGGGCTACAATCCATCGCCGCTGGGACAAGAATCCTCACATTATTCCGCTCGTCGACCTTGCAACGCCTGCCCGCCTGACTGACGCTCGAGATCGCCCTCCGACCGCGCAGCCTTGCCTTGACGTTGCCCTCGTTCGCATTTTTCGAAGCCGAAGCCGGACGAGTCGATCCCACGTGAGAAACCTATACTCAAATCACCCCGCGAGGCAGTCAACACCTGAGCCAATATGGCCGCCCCCAAGACTGCTGGCCAGCCCACTCTGGTCTTTGTCGATGGAGCCTTTGAGGATCTCGCTGCCGAGATGGCCGACTACCTCAAGGCTGAGGATGCCAAGCAGCTCCTGAGCAACGAGAAGGCCCCTTCTACTGAGGATGTCGTGGCCAAGCTCGTCTCGGCCTCTGCCGCCCTCAACACCGTCCCCGAGAAGGAGTACACTGCCGCATCCAACCTCATGATCCACCTAGTGCTGCAGTCCGCCGAACCAAAGAAGCACCTGCCCACCCTCTGCACCACCTTTGCCAAGCCCCTCATCAACTCTCCCGTCCACGGCGTCGGCCTGTCGCTCAACGCCCTGACCACCGTCTTCAACCTGCTCGACCCGAACGACCCCGTCCGCGCTCGCGTTTTTATGGAGATCCTCAAGTTCCTGCGATCGCACGGTATGTACGATGGTCTGCGGACGTACCTCGATAAGCTGCCCGAGTGGCTCGCCGCCTGGGGCACTGATGTCGACTTTCAGCGCAAGATCTATGAGGAGGTTGCTGAGGTGGCCCTGGAGGCCGGTGAGGAGACGTGAGTTGTCCCTGAATTGCGCGGCCAACCTTTGCCTCGGGATATGGAAACCCGGCGTGATAGGTTGAGTCGTGCTGTTGAAGCGCTTTCTAACAATTGTGTAGGCAAGGATACGAGTACATCCTCAAGGCTCTGCGGACATTCGAAGGCGACGAGAAGGACGACGTCTCCTCCGAGGATGCCCAGCGATTATCCCTCCGCGCCGTCAAGATGGCTCTCCTCTCCAGCACCCACTTCCTCTTCCAAGACCTGCGGGGCATCCCCAGCGTGCAGGCCCTTAGCGACTCCCACCCCGTTTACTCACAACTCCTCGACATCTTTGCTGAGCAGGACCTTGAGGACTACAACGACTTCAACGAGGAGCACGAGGGCTGGGTTGAGAAGGAGAAGCTGTCCCACGAGAGGCTCCACCGCAAGATGCGCCTCCTGACCTTTGCCAGCCTGGCGGCCGCCACCCCTAGCCGCGAGATCGAGTACTCCAAGATCACAAGGGCCCTTCAGATCCCCTCAGAGGAGATTGAGATGTGGGCTATCGACGTGATCCGCGCCGGCCTCGTCGAGGGCAAGCTCTCTCAGCAGCGCCAGCACTTCCTCGTCCACAAGGTGACATACCGTGTCTTTGGCCAGAAGCAGTACCAGGAGCTGGCCACCCGCGTTGACCACTGGCGGTCGACACTTCAGAACGTCCTCAGCGTCCTGCGTCAGGAGCAGGCCAACGCCAAGGCCCAGAAGGAGCGCGAGATCCAGGACCTCGAGCGCAAGGTCGCCAACGCCGGCCTGGGCGGTAACCAGGAGGGTGGCAACCGCCGCCGTCAGGGTCAGCAGAGGGAGCAGCGGGAGCCCCGCGAGCAGCAGCCTCCTCGTGAGCGAACGGAAAATGACGACTAGAGATGTGGAAATGATTGAATGGAACACGAAACAAATCGGGACAAACAGAAGTGGAAGGGTGGAGGGTTCAAAAAGGGGAAGGGGTTTTCCTAGGGAATGGGGGTATATTTTGACATACCTGCTTTGCGTTAATATCGTTGGGCAACATGAGAAATCCAGCGAACGAAGGGTTGCGAATGGCGTAGCCGGTTTCATGAGCATATTGGTCTTTCTATTCCCAGCATTGAGCGGGAGAATGATGTCTCGGTACTCTTCCAATATAGAATCAAAAGTGAACGCCAGTTGACCAGACGATGTGCCTTGATGTGACGGATGGCATCTTGATTTCACTTTGATGCGTCTTGTAGCATAGATATTCATTTCTGTTTCTTCTCATGAGCCCATCTCACCCCCTATTTCTTGGTGGTGTGGTCATTCGAGCGTTGATTATACAAAAAAGGTAATAGGGATACAAATAGGGCCAGCGGGTCAAGACAACCAAGATAAGAACAAGAGCCAACAGCTGGCGACGACGCGATCCTAAATGTCCCACCTCCCTTTCCAGGTCTATAGGTCAAGTAATTTTAAAATAACCCCTCTACGGTCCAAAACACCCCAGACGTTGTTTCCCCCCATGCAAGACGGCGCTCTCCCCGTGCATGTGAAAGTGCGGTTTATGCAAGTTTATTTCTCAAAAGCTGGGACCCAACCGCTGGGTGAGGACCTTTTGAGTGGTGGCAAAGACCTCGTTAGGTGTAGGAGTGGCGTCCAGCTTGACCACCTTGCCCTCCTTGTCAAAGTGGTCGACAACGGGCATGCTTGTCTCGATAAAGGTGCGGAATCGCTTGCGGATGCTCTCAGCGTTGTCGTCTGATCGGCCGCTGGTCTTGCCGCGCTCAAGAATGCGCTTCTCCATGACATCCTCGGGGCAGTCAAAGAAGAGGACCAGCTTGGCGGGGCAGACACTCTCCTCAAACTTGACAGCCTGGTCCATCTTGCGGGGGAAGCCATCGATCAGGAAGCGGCCCTTCTTGTCGCCCGACTTTTGGATGACCTCGGTCATGGCGTTCTCGAGAAGCGCAATAGTGACCTCCATAGGGACGATAAGGCCGTTCTTGATGTAGTCCTTGATCAGCTCGCCGAACTGGGAGCCGGGGCGCTGCTGCTCGGCGCGGAGGAGATCGCCGGCGGAAAGATGAGTGAAGCCATGCTCCTCGACGAGCTTCGCGCACTGAGTTCCCTTGCCGGCGCCAGGACCGCCGAGGACGAAGATGACAGTCACATCCTCAGGCTTGAAAGTGGGAGTGGACTTTGCGGGCTCGGCAAGCTGTCCAGCGGGGGCCGCGGGGGCTTCGAGTTGAGGTTGCGTAGGCATGTCTGCAGAAGGATGGGAGTTAGTTTGTGAATATTAGGAGGAGAATTCAGGAGTAAGTTCAAAGGGCCGAAGAAGACGGTGGGCATGAATCTGATCGCATAGCAACAGTGAAACGTAATGCAGGCCGAGAAGCTTGTCCTCGGGCTGCATGGACCGATGTCTCGGACGGGGCGACGACCCCTCGTACCAGGACAAGACCCATACCCAGTCCTTGTTGATAACTGAATAGATGAAGGAGAAGCATAGGTGCGTGCTGGTTGCAAGTAGCTCACCTTTACGGCGGTTGACAAGACCCACGTAGCCGAGGGAGCCTACACCGATGACGACAAGAAAAGGCCAGAACTTGACGTTGTCGTTACGCTTCGGTGGCTGAGACGAGTATTGACGGCCGCGTTGAGCTGTACGAAAACCGCGCGGGAGAGCCAGGGACGGGCGAGTCGGCAGGGACAGGGAGGATGAAGCTCGAGGGGACAGGCGAGAAGCGACGAATCGCCCCGAGAGGAGGGGCATGCGTGCAGCCATTGGGTGACGTCGATGCGCTTGGGCGCCTTTTTTTTTCTCTGTGCGGAAAAAGGTGAGAGAAGCAAAGAACAGGGAGTCGAGCTGAGCTGAGCTGTCGACTACCGGAGGGCGGTGACGGGCGCAAACGGAGGAGCAATTAGGGCAATTGAAGCCGACCAAAGAGAAGAAAAGGAGATGAGGACGAGAAACGAACAAGAAGAGAAAAGAAAAAGGAGTGAAAGAGAGTCAAGATTGGAGTTTAGAAGGAGGAAGATTGAAGAAGAGGAGGAAAAGTTGACAGCAGGGAGGTTACGTTAATGGAGATTAATTATTTTTGGCTAGAATTCGCTACCTACCCAGGTAGGGGAAGGTGCCACCAAGGAGCCACGTTCCCGTCGTTTTTATGGGATGGGGACGGAACAGCTTCAGCTTCATCAATCAAGGGAAGGATCGGATCGGATATTAGACGGCTACGAGTCCGATACTGTCAAGACGCGTAGTCATGTGACTTGACGGTTATGATTGAAGTGTTGTAGTATCCAAACAGAATGCAACATAAATGAACAAACGGTAAATAATACAAATCCAGGAGATTGCCTTCTTCAACGTCGAGGCATAAATGAACCATCCAGTAGCTACCCGGTTTTGTACCACGAGGGACCCTGCAAGATCCAGATCCATGACGAGATTAACAGCTCGGGTCAATGCCCGTGTGCTACGCCATTTGCGGTCGAGTTCTGCCGATTAACGAACAGATCAGGGTAGAGAGTTTGCTGGCTGTTGAAAGGCTACATACAGTACGGAGTACCTGTCCAGGTCAAGGTACAGGTACCTACACCTTGGCAGGTACCAGGTCTTCACCGAAACAATTGTGGCTGGGTCTCCGTTTGACAGCCACATTCGTTTCATCCCAGCCTCCCCCTTCGAGGCTTGACCTCCCTAGCAACGGACCGTCAATGCCAACGCCAACCCCGCAGCCCCTCTGTATCTACCGGCGCTGCGGCAGCTCCCGTCCATCGTCTTTTGACATCAGCATTAATCAACTTGACCACTTTACTCAGATCTGAAGTCATTGAAAGTCTCTCTGTGATTTCACCGACACTCGACAACAATGGTCTCGACGCCTCGGGCCAAGAGTCGTTATCAGTCAACTCAACAGCCGGAGACGCCCAGATCTGTCAAGAAACGCCTCCACAAAGGCCGTTTCAGTGACGGACACTGGTGGTGTAAGTTTAATTGTCACTCCTCAAAAACATTTGGTTAACATTTCAACAGGCAACTGTGAGCCTCGAAATAAAGCCAGTCTTCGAGAGACGAGAAAGTCTGGTCCAAACAAAGGCCGCTTCTACTGGAAATGTGACGACTGCAGCTTCTTTCTCTGGTGGGATGAGGCCAAGTCTCGCGAGACCGGTCTCAAGTCTTCTGAGAAGGGTGAATCTTCACGATCCAAGGCACCAGCCTTGACACAGCAGTCACTTGTATCCTATGGCTATCAGGTCACTCCTAGTCGACGTGATAGCAACACGGATTTCGAAGATAGCACAGAATCTGGCGAGGAATCTGAGCAAGACCCCCCAATGCCCAAGTCAGCCAAAACCGCAGAGGCGGGTCCATCAAGGGCAGCTGCTCTGGAAACGCCCAGTCGGGGGCCTACTAAGAGAAAGCGAGATGTGTTTGAAGATGATGAAGACGAAGACGAATTCAGTGACCTCGGCTCGGATGAGGAGAGACAGATGGTCGCTATTGCGGACAAGAGCGTCGAGAAAGCTGCTGCCCAGAGACGATATGAAACTCCGACCAACATGCGCTCTGCCGATGTCATTTCTGGCCTGCCCACTCCAGTCTCCCGTACACTCTTCCCAGGCACCGACTCCAAACGTCAGAAGCAGGTCTCTTTTGAAGATACACCCTCTCGCCCTTCGGTGGCTCTCTCATCCGCCACCATTTCGGCTGGCACAACTCCGTCGAGGACCCCGGCTGGGCTGCAGGCAGTCCCATCCAGCAGTCCTCCCGACAACAGCTACGACGTGACAGACGAGATCATGGGTCTCCTGCAAGACCAGAAGGTTGACCCTTCAGTCTTGCGGGCTATAAAACACACCTTGACTACGGCAGCCCGTCGTACCAAAGGCATTATCCTTGGTCGTGATTCCGCACGGGCGACCCTCAAGATCCGAGATGAAAAGATTGCCAGCCTGCAAGAACGCATCACGGCACTTGAGAACCGGGAGCGCATGCACCACAGCCAGATGACGAACATCAAGGCAAACCTGATGAAGATGTATGACGACAACTGATTTGGTAATGATACGATTGTGGTTTGGTCTTGTTTTGATACTAGCGATGGATGTTTACGGAATGGAACTGAGGGTGAAGGAATGAACTTGAGGATAGGAGTTAATCTCCTAGATATAGTAGTTGTAGTATAGATACCAGTTAGTTATACCCTCTTGAGCAAGTAAATGCAATGCGTATATGATTCAACTGCCTGCTGCTTAATGGTTATTAGTGTGCATGGCTGTGATGATGCCCTTTCATCTTTGGCAATCAGGATACCCGTGTACGATTTTAAAAGCAAGACGACTCAAGAGTCCTTTATGTCAGAGCATGAATGTATGCTTCCAATCGCAATTGATCGATTGCTTCTTCCCTCGCAGTATATCCCAATGAATCGCTGCACCAGAGTCACCCCCTGAAAGATCTTCTCAGTGACCAACACTGATATCGCATCGTTTGCCTTTTTGCATCCGACAGTGTACAATGTCTTTGTGAGTAGCAGTTAATTTCCATCAATGCAAGTGCGTTGCTGTAAAAAATTTGCATCACCTACAGGTGTCTGCCAGTGCCAGCTTGTGCCAGGCCGACAACCCTCTTCACCCTGCTCAACCCCTCTCTGCTTCTCTCTTCTTTTCTCTGTCAACCTCTTCTTCCCTCATTCTCCGATTGTTCTGCTCTCACCATACGTCTACTTCAATTGGTCGCTCGCAAAGTTGTATCGACATGGCATCTCCGCCTCGGCGCTCACGAAAGCATCGCGCCGCTGCGCCGACCAAATTTACCGTCCCAGGCTCCGACGATGATTTCTGTCCGGAGCCTTCCAAGAAAGCCTCGGCCCCCAAGGTCTCCTCGGCCTCCAAGGCGAAAGCAAACCCAGCCAACTTGACCCGTTCAAGCTCCAGCGATGATGTCCCTCTCATGGCTCGCAAGAAAGCCAGAGCCGCCCAGAATGCTGCAGCCCGCCGAGCCGCTCAGAGGGACGAAGACGCAGGGTACGAGAGTTCCGGCTCGAACTCATCCATTCCTGCAGTCGCTTCCGATAAAAGCACCAGGTTGGCGGACCAAGTTTCTCCAACCGGCAAGCGAGGTGCGCCCAAGGAGCACACCGATTCTCCTGTCAAGAAGCAGCGGATCGTTTTCAAGAAAAAGAACAGGTCTTCCGATGGTACATCGTCCTCGTCCCCAACGTCTCCCACTGAGCCAGTGGCTTCGTCCAACTTGGCGACTCGATCAACGGAAACCACACCCGCAACCTCGCTAGCTCCCTCTCAGCCATCGATCAACAGAGAGACAGAAGCTGCTTCGTTGATTACTGTCCCTCACGAAGCAACCACTCTTCAACCAGCAGACTATCATCCAGCAGCTCTCCATCCAGCAGCCCTCCATCCAGCAGCCCTCCATCCAGCTGAAGCCAGTCTCCAGCAATTTAGCGAACAACTTGCTCACATGCGCAACGATGCCGATGCCATCCAGAAGAGTATGCAGGGCGTCTTGGATGCTCAGGCTATGCAAGCAAAGGTCACTGCCCTCGAGACCCAGTTGGCAACACTCAGCGCCCAAAGTGCACAAGAGGCTGGGGGTGATCTTGTCGAGTTAAACAAGGCCCTCGATGCTAGCCGAGCTAGAGAAAAGAAGCTCTCTGACTCTTTCGAAACCCTCAAGGCTGAGAACAAGGAACAGAAGGAATATATCGAAGACCTAAAGAGTGACGTTAACGCACTGAACGATGAACTAGAGAAGGGCTCCGACTTTCCTTATGACAAGATCTCGGACGATAAGATTGGGGATGAGTGGCTTCAACTTGCCCATGAGATTCAGAACTTCACCCTCCAAGTCCTCACCAGGGATCCAACCCGTGTCGCAGCTCCTCCAGGAGCCAACTCGGTCCAGGTCAACGCGCTCAGACTCAAGCGCAAGCAAGACCCGGAACTGGTCAACTTTCACTTCCAGAAGCACATTTGGGATCGTATCAACAACGAGGTATTTCAGGCGGGATCCAACGTTTGGGGTGGTCGCGGCGGGAAAGCCTTCAATCGCCTCTGCATCGACGTCGCAGGTAAGATCATCCACCAACCCCCTTTCTCTGTGTTTTGATGTTTACGGTTCTTAGGGAGTGATGCCGAGGAAATGAAGAACTTTAGCCCGTTGAAGGCGCAGACAGCCAACGTTCTACGCTCTACACACGATGACGAAAACAAAGTCCAGGTGGCCAAGCTTGTGAATGGTCTCAAGGCTGACCTATTCGTCTTCACGAACCCCGAGATGACCAAGACGTTGGAGCATCGCTTGAAGAAAATCGTTCATCGAGCTTGGCGCCTCAACATAATCTTCATAGCATCGAGGGCTTTCTTCCTTCCGATGGGTGTGCAGGACCAATACCAGGATGATAATGTCGACATCCGATACACCAGAGGAAACACGGAGAACACTGAGCTTGAGCTCCAGGTCTCACCACAGATCGTCAAGTATGGGGAAGCAGATGGGTTCAACTTTGAAAGCTGTATCATCGTCTGCAAGGCTATCGTCACCATGTGTGAGGTGAAGCAGCGGGGTGGGAAGCGCAGTAAGGAGTAAAGGAGTAGCACGGATCTTGTTGTCCTCTGAGATAGTCAATGGAGTATAGTAAGAATAAACAAAGTGCTCTAAGTTATGAGACTATTTTATGATATTTTCTGTCAACTTGTTAACCATGCTTGAGAGGAGTTACCCTTTTGATATTTTGGCGTTTTGTGCCTTTCTTGACCCGCGTGGCCATGAGTACCTAGGTACATACCTATCAAGGCATGTCTCTTCATGTACCTCTCCAAGAGCGCCTGTGTTTCTCTGGCAATGCCTCCCCCTTTGGCACTGTAGCATCGATGTCACCAGAACACTTCAGCGTAACTCCGAGATCAACTAAGGAGAAAGCGTGCATTGCAACCTACTTTAGCTGCCTTGTACAAAATTTAGCCTCTGAAACCTAGCAGCGACATTAGAACCCTCTACGGGGCTGGTACGACATTGAGCAAGACTTCAAACGAACGGACAGGTTTAACTCCCCAAGCTTAGGTCAACCCCTGGACCGTCCATTACCAAAGCCTCCTGGCATTCATGTTTGGGGCTGATTAAGGTGGTAGGCCTAAGTCTGTAGGGATAAAGGGTTGGTCCTTGCAATTGTTTATGGATAAAGAATGGATCATTGTCCTCGTGCTATTGCCATGGTCCTACCTCGATGGTTGAACCCTTTCCTCCCAAAATGTCACCGCCATAACACACAACCTTCTTAGATAAAACACATTGGGATAATCGGTTCCTACACGCCAGTATTGATCCAGTAGTTGGCCGTCGAGGGATCCCCTTCTGAACTTATCGTCCACCTAACAATTCTTGTGGAGGCTCAACATAGGGTAAGCCATAATGATATACACCAACGGGGATTCGGATAGGCGAACTGAATCCTAGACTATACCTGTAACAGTGTGCCGTATTTCATTCAAATGGAACGTATGATTGCGTTGGTATAAGTGGTGAAGGGTAGGGATCTGCATTGTGTTAACCGTCATCCAACGCGAGCCAACGTGGCAATTTTCTAGCAAGGACAAGAACAAGTCAGTGTATCTAAGCCTACTCCATGCAATTTAAGATCGATGTGATGTTCTGGGTCCAAACACAGGCCAAAGTGGTGTGTTGGACAAAGAAAGTTGCCATTGACAATTCAACCTACACAAGTCGTGTTCATCACGTGTGTTCATGGTCGTTCCATATGTGAAGCACCACCTCCTCCAATAGGCGACAGTTATGTCGTCGAACATACCTCGTTATACCTCGTCTGGCGGCAGTTCTTGATTCACCTTTACCATCAAGAGTTGCGACCATGTTCCTTTATTCCCGCGACAAACATATATACTTCGACACCGCTACTCCAAATCAGTGACTGATTTCAGATGAACACGGCAACTAACTCGTCACCGACATCACTCACCATGTCAGAGTTGCTAACCCGCATCGAGCTACCCTTCCTCCTGGCACTCCGTTACAGGGAGGACCCCGGCCCACAGGACTCAGGCTACGTGCGACCTCAAGGAAGTCCTGTTCCCTACCCAACCAGCAACTATCAGAGGAGCGATGATGATTTCGGTGGTGATTTCACGGATCCTCAGGTGAGAGAAGATTGCGGCTTGTGGGCCACTCTATTTCTTGAGAAGCTTTTGGCTCATGACTGGAAGTTTCCTAGAGCAGCGATGTGGAGGTTTAGCTATGAAAAGGATCTCCAGGAGACTCAATGTGATGAGTATCGCTGGATAGGGATGAAGGTTACATCTCCTTACCTTGAGCCTACTGACAACCAACAGAGACAACTTGATGCGGTCCTCAAGCTCCTCAACGAGAAGCTAATCACATTTCCCAGCGCTGAAACAAGACTAAAACTCACATTCAAGCCTCGAAAAGGAGCCTTCAGCCTAGAAAGACTCAAGGAGCTTGCATCCATGCTTTGGGTGACGGACCCTCTCCTGAGTACGCTTCACCCCCCTCATTGCGGACCAAGCTCACTGCCCTCTCTGGGCTTTCAGTTCACAAACCTTGTCAGGGAGAACAATCCCATCGACCTCAAGGTGGAAATAGGTTTGGGTAGTCTTATAGATGATCCTTGGACCGATCGTCTTTCCTGGCGTCGCCGACAGCTCAGAGTCATGGCTCATCCTGGAGAGTTGTATGAAGGGAGGTACAGACCTGGACTCGACAAGATTCACAAAGCTACATCTATTCCAGACCTACTCCATCTCTTGGACTTGGCTGTTAAAAGGGGAGGCAATGAGCACAAGTTCCAGGCTGCGTACAACTTCCAAAACGCAGCCGATCTGAAGCACCCACGTATTGAGCTGAATCAACATTGCGGAACTCTTCACGGTCCAGCCATCACGGATTGGGTCACCATTTGCAAGTTTATTCTCGAACCTCCTCGACCAGTACACGACTCATCTCTCATCGCAGCGTCAAGAATCCTGAGACAGCGAGTCGAACAAGGCTTCACAGTCTTCGATTGTCTACGCTCAGACGGCATAGGAAAGATGAGATACTACACGCCAAGGAAAGAGTTTCAAATCCCAGACTTGATATACTGGCCAGTTCGTACAAGGCCTGTCCTCAAATATGACCCAGAACCTGGGCCGGTGAGATCTTACATGTCGCTGGACGACATTGAGATCGAGGCTCAGAAATGGGCCAAGTTCACCAAAGGCGTCAAGGGCACCGGTAATAGCACCTACTCCTTTGGCGTAGAGCTGGAAATGTTGGTCCCCACGTCTGAGAATCCCAAGAAAGAGCTAGATCGATCCTTTTACACTTATCAGTATATCGACGACCCTCCTGACCGTCTATTCTTTGACATCAGAGAAGAGCTTCGCTTAGAAAAGGAAAAAGACCCGAACAAAGGCGTATCTCGTCGGGACTCGGGACTATGGACCCCGACGTTTCCAGAAAATGAGCCAACCTCGGCCGCAGGGGGGGACGCCTTGAATTTAGGCATGGACTTGAAGAATTTAGATTCCTGGCTGGTTGATCAATTACTGACTGATCCAGAAGCGAGTTCATCAGATACTTCAATGATGGACGTTGGCTCAGTCCCCGTGTCGAGTCTTCTTGACTCTGATCCGATGGACGTTGACATATCCTCCGAAGAAGGCACTACTACCCCTGAGAAGGACCCGCATCCCCAAGACCCTAGAGAGATTGCTCGCGGGATATGCTTTTCTCAACGAGCCCATCAGATAGCAGGCATCATCTCTTCATTCGGTCACCCGGCGTACTTCATCTGCAACCACAGTAACGGTACCGGCCGTCCCTGGAAGCGCGAGCTAGCAAAGCGTGGACTCTTCCACGCGGGCGACCTAAAACTCAACTACCATGCGTGGTCCCTTGTGCCAGACGGTTCACTCCCAGAACAGGGGGCCTGGGCTGGATACTGGAAGCTGACTGGTCTTGAGCTCATCAGCCCAGTCTGCCAGGATGTGCCGGAGGACTGGGAGAAGATCCTTGAGGTCGTAGGCGGCTTTGCGAACAATGTCAGGGTGATTCAACATACCGCCTGTGGACTACACGTCCACGTTGGCAAGGGTCAGCAGATCCTTCCTATACATCTCATCCGAAAGATGTTTTGCCTCATGTGCTGCGTAGAGAATATCGTCTTTAGCCTCTGTCACCCCCACAGGAAGCACCTGATATACTCGGCTGCGTTGATGGCGGATGCAGAAAATATAAAACGTCATTCCAAGGGCAGAGCTGCACACCCGGACCTCAAGAAGTATTTCCCTGATGAAGTTGAAGAGAATCCTCTCCTCTGGACCGTCTTGAAAGAGATGTGGGTAGAAGATAATTTTGGCGCGATCAAAGACGTCTGCCGCAAGGTCTCGCTGTCTGTATCACATTGCCAGGCTCTCAACGCAAAAGGCCGGCCCTCAGGCCAGGGCGACGACGACGTTTACGTCAAGGGAACTGTAGAGTTTCGTCACCTAGAAGGAACCATGCATCCAGGCTTGGTGCTGCGATGGGCTCAGCTCGCTGTCGCACTCTTCCAGTTTGCAGATCTCGCAAAGCCGGATGACTGGAAGAAGCTAATCAGCACCGCGCTCAAGTGCAAGGACCCGGTGAACTACGACCTTGAACTTCTCGACGACTTTCTCCAGCAGCTTGGTCTAGGGGAGGACTTTGACTTTTGGGAGCACAGAGTTCGTTGGTCCATGTCCATCAAAGAGCAGCTCCCAAGGGGGGGTAATTCAGTCTACGGCTATAACACTGAAATTCCCCCTGACAAGAAGTTTGAAGGTGCAATCCCCAGCGAAGTAATGGAGGCGATACGAAAGAATATTTGTCAAAGAGATAGGACGCCGCCGTATCTGGCCCGCGAGCAAGGGGAAATCAGTTGATATATATTTCAAGGAGTTGGAGAAGGGGAAGTACACAGTCAGGACGAGACTAAATATAGCGCCATTAAGAATAGTGAAGTATGGTAGCGCTGAGCGCGAATGACTTTCTAGCAATAGACCTAACTTTGGTCATGTCTGGACCCCGATACTGTTCCATGAAGCCTGTCTCGAGGCTGCAAAATGTTCGTGGGGCGCCTCTCGGAGTATGCGTCTGCTATGCTGCCCTAGGTGATTGACCTGGGCGTAGGTAGGAGTAACAGTTGGCGACCTCTTCTGCTCGCTGTCTGAAAGGCCGCGCTTCTATGCGCTACCTTTATAACGACAACCTCGGCGCCGCGCTGGGTCTTTGGCTGGCAATCTTGGTGCCACGGCCTGGTTGATATTCTTCTGTCGATTCCTCGCTCACTAGGTCGGTGAACCGTGATCCCGTTCGATTATGTCCTCTCTGCCCAGTGGTCGAGTTCCGTCGTTGAGCACCATCGCCTCTCGATGCTGTCGTCGAAGTCGCTGCTCCTCGGCCGAATGCTCTCGGGTGCGAGGAATCTGCTGCTCGGCGAGGGCGCCGTCCGCAGCCTCCTCCTGGATATCCATGGTGGCCTCTGGGGTCTTACGAAAGATGGTCCGCATGCTCTCCTTCCAATCCACCAACCCTGCCTTTTCCAACGCCTTACGTCCACGCCTCTCATCCTTGATTCTATCCACGATCTCGACGATCCGATTGCTCTTGAGGTCCATGTAGTTCTTGAAGTTTTGTCGTCTCTCCTCGGGGTCAGTCCCCCATTCCTGCTTTGCTAGCCATTTCTCGACGAACCGCGCCTTAATCAGGTCGCGAGAACCATACTTGTTGGTGAGCTCAAGGATGAACATGAGACAAAACCTCTCGGCCATATCGCGAAGGTAGTACTCGTCCCAGTGGCTGTCGGTGAGATCTGGTCGCTCAACATCGTCCAAGCTAAGCTCGAGGGACCTCACAAGGGCGGAATAGCCTTTGGGGTTGTTCAACTTGGACAGCCCATCCAGACCTAAAGTGGTTAGTTGTCTCCCGTAAAGTTGAAAAGTCATCATACCAAGTGTCTGCCCCGTAAGCAGGGCCAGTGCCCGAAGACACTTCATACGCTCATCGTAGTCTGGCCGTGTAATGCCAAAAAGCAAGGAATGCAGTGTCTCGCGGTCGTTGATAGCCCGATCGCAAAGAATCTTTATGGCAATATCCCTGATTGAATAGTTTGGATGGTCTAGAAGCTTCTCGAGGGTCTCGAGTTCTAAAGAATCCTCTGTGTCCTGCGTGATGTATTGGGTCTTTGGCTGTGCTGGAGGGATCTCGTTTTCGTCGCGGATGTATGTAAGTGTAGTAATTATAGTACTAACAAGACCAAAAGTAGCAAGACCTAGGCTCACAAGAACTACCCGCTCATCGCGGGCGAAGGCGAGTAGGCTGCTTGCCCAGCCCATGTTGATTAAATCTTCTTGTTGAGTTCATGTTATTGAAGCTGGCGATAGCGATAGGCGAGAGCTCCTGACGTCAGGGCATTCTGCCATAAGATACCGCCTTTAGCTCCTGCATGTACCTTCCTGGGGACCGTGGACAGCCCCACTTTTGGCAAGCACCCCAGAAGATGTGAGCCTGATGAGAACACAACGAAACTGTCAGGGGGTGCGATTGATGAGCAAAAAGAAAGTGATCATCCCACTCAACAGAGACATGAGGAAAGGCAAAAAGTAATGCGTAATCTGGGAATCGAACCCAGGGCTCCCCGACGTTGCTCGAATGGCAACGGAGAATTTTACCACTAAACCAATTACGCTTTGATGTCACGTGGAAGAGCGACTCTGAAATCTCGACTAGATCCTTTCCGAGACGGCAGGATCTCTTGCGAGTAGGAGCTCCACAATAATTTACTGATAACGATAACACTTTTTCCATTGGAAAAATTCTGGGAGACGTTCGTAGCGCAAGTTGCAATTACCATCGCATTCGCTATGGCCGGCTCCCAGCTCAAGCGCCTCAAGGCGTCGCTCCGAGAGCAAGGAATTGTCGGCCCTCAGCAGTCGAAGAAGCAGAAGCGCCGTGTTGCTCAAGATGAGCGCGCTCGTAACGAAAAGCGACTGCAGAGAGGGGTTGTGTTGGAAGGCATCCGCGAACAATTCAACCCTTTCGACCTGAAGCATGCGAAAGGACCCAAGTTTGAGGTCACTACCAACCGACCAAAGGCACCTGGAATTGCAGGCAGTATCAAAGGCCGTCCTGGTCAGGCCAAGGCTGCCAGCGAGGAGAGGGTGAGTTGCTAAACACTGTCGCATTGGGTGACAATTCAACTAACAGGCAAAGCGCCGAGAAACGCTCCTAGTCGAGATGCAACGACGTAACAAGGTTGGAGGTATCCTCGATCGACGATTCGGTGAAAACGACCCGACCATGGCACCCGAAGAGAAGATGTTGGAACGATTCGCCCGAGAGAAACAGAGAAGTCACAAGAAGAGCTCCATGTTCGACCTGGAAGATGACGAGCCTGAAGAGAGCCTCACACATATGGGCAAATCTCTTTCCTTTGACGATATGAAGCGTGTGGAGGACTTCCAAGAAGACGATCTCGATGAGGATTACGACAGTGATGGCTCAGTACGAGAGAGACAGCGACTGAAGCGCCTTCGCGATATGGCAGCGACAGGCAGCGACGGAGAGGATGGCGAAAACGATGAACCTGAGCGAAAAAAGACGAAGAAGGAGGTCATGGAAGAAGTCATTGCAAAGTCCAAGCTGCACAAGTACGAGCGACAGGCGGCCAAGGATCAAGACGACGATCTGCGAGCAGAACTTGACAAGGAGCTACCGAACCTCCATGCGCTCTTGTCTCAGGGCCGCCAGGGAACCAAGGCTCAGGCTGCAGTCTCGACAATTGCTGGCGTTGATCGCGATACTTTCGAAAAGAACTTTGATCTCCAGGTGAAGAAACTCGCACAGGATAAGAGGGCCCAGCCTGCGGATCGAACCAAGACAGACGAGGAAAAGGCTGAGGAAGAGTCCAAGAGGCTTAAGGAGCTTGAAGATAAGCGCCAGAGACGCATGAGAGGAGAGGAGGTCTCGGACAGTGAGGACGATGAGGCAGACAAGCGCAAGAAGAATCAGCAAGATGAGATGGACTTGGACGAAGATGACGAGGATTTCGGTCTCGGAGATGGTATTAGGGCCCGACCAACTGCAACGGAACTGGGATTCGACGATGAGGATGACTTTATCATTGACGATGATCTTGTCGCCAGCGGATCGGACCTGGAACTTGTCGACAGTGACGAAGACTCGGATATGGAGGGCTCTGACGAAGAGGCTGATGAGGAGGAAGATGACGAGTTCACCAAGGGCCTACTCAACGAAGAAGAGCGCCGAAACCCCGTTTTTGAAGCTGACTCGACGACAAAAGCCTCGGCAATCGAAAAGGGCGACGAACAAGGTCTACCGTACACCTTTGAGTGTCCCCAGTCCTGCGACGAGTTCCGAGTGATTATCGCTCCATATCCAGCAAAGACATTCCCTACCATTGTTCAACGAATCCGCGCCCTCTACCACCCGAAGCTCAGCAACAAGAACAAGGAGAAGCTGGCCAACTTTTCCACAGCTCTGGTCGACTATGTCGCTCTGCCTTGGGATCCTGCGACCTCCCCTCCTTTCGCCGTGCTTGAGAGCATTGTGCGACACATCCACTCTCTTGCCAAGATGTTCCCCGTCGAGATCAGCCAGCAGTTCCGACAAAACATTGAGGAGATGGGTGAGTCACGGCCTCTGGCCTTGGGTCCCGGAGATCTGATCCTGCTTACTGCTGTTGGCTCCATCTTTCCCACGTCCGATCACTTTCACCAGGTTGTCACGCCTGCCTTGCTGACAATTGGACGGTATCTTGGTCAACGAGTCCCTCAAAATCTGTCGCATTATGCTATTGGCACATACCTCTCTATTCTTGCCGTCAGCTATCAGAAGCTATCGAAGCGATATGTGCCCGAGGTGGTCAACTTCTCTCTGAACACACTCTCTGCTCTGGCCCCTGTTGCTGCCTCAAAGCAGCTTGGAAACTTTCCTCTTCACAATGTCCCCGCTGGCATCCGCACTGAAGGCGCTGGCAAGACAGCCGTGAGGAGGCTCAACTTCTCAGACTGCATTGATGAGGAGACTGGTGGTAAGGAGGCGGCGGCTCGCAAGGTTGCTATCCTTGATACCACCGCTCAGCTCCTGGAAGCGGCTGCGGATACGTGGACCGGAAAGAGCGCGTTCCTTGAGACCTTTGGTCAGGTTGCTGCTGTGCTGAAGCATCTTAACAGCAAGGGTTGCCGTTCTCGACTCCCCCCAGCTCTCACTGAGCGGGTTGAGAAGATCCAAGCCAAGTTTGAGAGGATGCTCAAGGTTGCCCAGCTATCACGCCGCAACCTAGAACTCCACCACCACAAACCTCTGGCTATCAAGACGTACGTGCCTAAGTTCGAGGAGACATTCGACCCAGACAAGCACTACGACCCCGACCGAGAGAGGGCAGAGCTGGCCAAGCTCAAGAAGGAGCACAAGAAGGAGCGCAAGGGAGCCATGCGGGAGCTACGCAAGGACGCCAACTTTATGGCTCGGGAGAAGCTGCGGATCAAGAAGGCCAAGGACGAGGCGTACGAGAAGAAGTACAAGAGGCTCGTGGCCGAGATCCAGAGCGAGGAGGGACGAGAGGCGAACGCGTACGAGAGGGAGAGGTCGGCTCGAAAGAGGGCCAAGAACAGGTAGAGGAGCAGTTGTGCATAGGATACCAATATTACATATTTTCGTCTGTCACTGGTTTGCTTTGGGTACTTCTCAGGACAAAAAGTTATACGCAAGGTTGTTGGATAGAATTGAGCATCAAGTTTAGTCTAGGCTTCCCTAATTGATGATATGCTTTAGACTAAGAACATTATAAATCAGGAATGAGTTCAATGATCTTTTGAGCATACTATGAGTATAACTTGCTAAAGTCTTTCTTCACCCTTGATCGAACTGGTCTCGTTCATCTACCGTTTAGGTCCAATGACTTCATTCGTAAAAACACACTGTGCGCAACTTGACTGAAGTGCCCACAAGGAGTGGCACAACTTAGACGTAGCAGGAAAACGAGGCTTAGAGCCCTGATAAAGTGTTTGATCAAAGAAATTTCCAGTTTGAGCGTAAAAACAGCTCAAGATGTAACCCCTTGTTGAGGCCGTCTTTCTGGCTGCTGAGTAGATGCTCTTATTGACACTGTACCTCAGCGCGCCGACCACTGAGTTTTAGTGGGGACCACTCTGTGAGAATGAACAATCCATCAACACCATCAAACTCACCAGCCATCTGGTTTTTTTACCGCTACACGCTCGATCAACAGTCTCTCAATCAAGGGAGTTCCTACCAGACACAGTCAGCTTATCAGTTTCAACATGAGCTCCCATCAAAACGGTGCAAATGCACCAGACGACGAAGAGGATGACTACATGAACATGACATTCGAGGATCCTGCGCCCATCAAAGAAACATCTCTGCAACGTACACAACGCCTCAAGCGTGAATCACGCGCTCGAGGACTCGTCAAGTCAAAGGCCCAGATTGCAGAGGAGGAGGAAGCCGCGCGAGAAAGGGCCTTGTCAACATCGATGCTCGACGACGCAAAGGCAAAGAAGAGCAAGGGTCTTGCCATGATGGCCAAGATGGGTTTCACTGGCGGTGGCCTAGGAAAGAAGACGGATGATGGCAACGCCCCGGGACGGGCAGAACCGATCAAGGTCAGCGTCAAGGAGGACCGTTCAGGTATTGGATTGGAAAATGAAAAGAAGAGAAGACTTCGGGAGGCGGCTGAAGAGAGGGATATCAAGATGGCCAAGATGGACCCTGATGAGTATCGAGAGCGGGTGAGAAAGGAGCGTGAGGATTCGAGACTCGAAAAGCAATTCTTTGCGGCGCAACGCACAGCAGAACGGATGGACGATGAGAAGGCAGATCCTCAAGGCCAACACGCAGTCGACGCATCAACAGATGAGACTGGCGATTCTCGAAAGAAGCCAGCGCCGATATCATCTCGACCTCTCAAATCAGTGCCTGTGCTATACCGCGGTTTAGTTCGACACCGAGAAGAAGCAGAGCGCGATCGACGGATGCGGTACGACCTTGAGCAGTCACTATCACGGCTACCAACGTACGAGGATGATCAAGAAGATGAAGACGACAAAAAGGCGCTAGGAAAGGGACACACGGTTTACGCTACGGCTGAGGATCTCGATGAGGAGGATGAAGAGCTGGACGACTTTAATGCATTGGAGATTGGTGAGCGACTGACGAAGTTGCTGGAATATTTAAGGGAGAAACATCAGTATTGCTTTTGGTGCAAGATGGTATATCCTGACTCGGAGATGGAGGGTTGTCCGGGCTTGACAGAGGAAGACCATGACTAGACTGGACAGTAATGCGTTCAGAGTGCGGATGCTGTACTAGAGAATTCTTTGTTTCGCACATAGATGTACATTAAGTTCTGTTATGCTTCCTTCATGGATGACAAAGACTATGATAGCACTATGCTGCTGTTATATCAAAAATACTGAACAGGGAGACTATACAGATGATCTTTTGTCAAACTAAGCGATCACTCTAAAGCAAGATAAGTAGCCTCGCCTGCGGAGAATGCATTCTCATTCACACCTAGTTGCAAGAAGAGACTCTGAAAGCACACAAGAACTATTGCATCGCCGTGCCTTGCCTATCGATCCCATCAACACCATGTGTACCCATGTCGTCAAAGTTACCCACTGCTTGAAGTGCAATACGAAACTGGAACCCTGGGGCAAGATTCGACCTTGCTCCAAGGCGATAGAAGAAGACCAACGCGGGTACCACATTCCCTGTGAAGTTATGGAGCTTCAAGTGAATGGCCCAAGGAACCTCATGTGCCATGCCTGTCTAGAAGGCTGTGGCGGAGTGAACAATTTTAATACGAATCAGAGGCTAGGGGGAAGAACTAAACAGGATGGATGAGAGAATCATTACCACCCAGGACGGCCAGGGAGACTTTATTCACAGGGAGGCTCGTCTTCTATTATTAGTAGATAAGCATCAGACCAAGATATGGTCTTTTCCAAGCCCAATAGTTTTGTGTGTTGAGTTCGTTGCTTTGACAATGCAGAGTGATTGTGGTATGTGTCTTTAATACTCTTCACCACTTGAAGCAGAATTCAGTCGAGAGTGCACGGTGGAAGTTGGAACAGAAAAAAGTCTATTGTCATAAGTCATAAAATGGTCACTGAACGAGTGCTACCCGCTAGATGGTCGTGATGCGTCTGCCAAAAGGCCCTCTTCCTCATCTCTTAGAACCACGATTTCTCTCCGACCAGGTCCAGACTTTGGTGATGGTACTGTCCAAGTTGAAGCCGGAAGAGGATCATCGACAGAGGAAGTGCTGCTGATCTGAAACTCGTTGGTCGAGGCCTTCCATTCTTGATGGGCTATGACGAACAGTAGCGAATGAACGAACCTATATCGGCGCTTATTAGTAGCCATTTCCTACAACATCAAGTCTCGAAACTCACACTTGAGCAATACCAAAGCAGAACAAAGCCCGCGTTGCAAGGTGAGGCTCGTCCGTGGTCTGGTCCAGAGTCGGCACAGCATGATCCGTGGTGCCAAGATATCCAATCAATGACGACGCAATCACAAACGCCAAGCACAAGACTAGGTCAAACTTGATGCGGGTAACGGGCTCGTGACCACGACGGTTGCGCGTGCAGAGGTAGATTGCGTCGATGAAACTCCACGCAAACGCCATACATGTCTAAACGGTCAACTTGAGTCGGTGAAAGTAGAAGAAACACGTACAAGAGGTCCAAAGAGGATGATGGTTGTCGCATCGGGAGAGGAGCCGGCGATGAGTGTGAGAAGCGTGATTAGGAGGACGACGTCGAACGAGATGGAGAGGAGACGGAGGTTGAGCTTTGCTGCCCACAAGGGACCTGAAGAGAATCGTTCGGAAGTCATGGGAGAAGTTGTTTGATGGAAATTTTGTTCGAAATCGGGCTGTGAGTGTGGTTGATGGTTATCTTGGACCCGGCGGTGAGTACTTGGCAAAAGATGCCCAGACATGGCCAAGCTACTGTAGTCTTGGTTAACCAATAACTAAATATTCAAAGAGTAAAAAGAAGAGACGCATAAAATACGTACAGAAGAGAAAGAGGTCACCCGCACATACTTGTGTGGTCGTGACGGCATCGGGCTTACACGTTCCCCCCCAAAACCGGTATCGAGAGATCCCCGTAGGATCAACCAGCGAAATCCTCAGGCGGATGGATCCCTGCATGGCGCAGCATTGCACCACGGCCCGGGCCCAGGCCAAGAGAGATTAGAGGTGTACAGATGGAGCATCAGCCTCCGTAAGAATGCCCTATTCGGTTCATATCCTGCGCCCCCCCAGATGCCGTGTCGGGTTTCAAGGGGCGCTCCCACTTGCCGTTACATTTACGCGCATACATAGGATGAGGTGTATTTATTTTTGCCTACAAGGCTGATGGAAGGGATTTGTTGGTTGCGCACTTGCGTCAAAGAGAAGATGACGGATTCTAGCCCTTGTCCCGTCAGATTTGTCACTGACATTCTCGTGATTCCTCGTTTCATGTTTGTCACTCAGCTGGTTTCACTGCTCTGCGTGTATTGCTTCTCATAAAGTGTTTCGGCATCAACGACTCTTTTCGGAGCGGAGCGGGCCTCCGAGAGAAACGGATGTCCGGGCCGCACCGCAACGGTCGGGAAATTAAAGATGCCAACTCCGTACGGGAGTGCAGGACTGAAATTATGTAAATGATTGATTGGTCTCTGGCCGAGGCTCTTTGAATTTATTTCACATGGTCATAGGCTTTGTCTTGGCTTTGATAGGGCTCATATCCGTTCGCCATACCTACCAACCTAGGCAGGTAGATGTATAAAGAGAAGCAATCACGCCGATGAAATACAGACGAAATCAAGACAAATGAAGATCCCAAGGTTATAAGTTATGGATGTGCCAATGACAGGCAACCTGACAAGTCTCATACAAAACGGTTTCACTTGTCATGCCATTCGTCCCTAGTCCCAGGCTTGGCTGCTCTCTAACTAACCATTCTCCATCACCACAATAAACAAAAGTCAATTCCTTCTATATCCCACCGGAAATCGGACTTGGCAAAAGATCGATGTCGCAATCCTTAGCCATTAAGCTTGCTCTGCTTGCTAATCAAAAATGAATGCTACTAATCCCGAAAGGCCCAACGGGAATTACCCACTTATGAGGCTCTTGATCGATGACCCTGACTCTGTTGGTCCATTCACCGATTTTTTCTCTCCTCTACAACATTTGGATAATCCATGTCGCTTTTTTCAATTGATGCCTTTTATGCCAACTCAAAGTTTACATACATCTTGTCTCTCGCGCTGGACGCGAATAGTTCCCCCCAATGACGTCTTCCACCCGTTCGGCCGAGAAGGCAACCACTTCGGACCTCGAAATCGCCCAAGAGAATGACTTTGATGCTGTGGCATCCCCTGAAACCAAGGCTGCTGCTACTGAGAGCGCCTTGGAGTCAAGTGACGATGCAGAAACGATAGTCCAGTCAAAGTACGACTCGAGCTGGATTCGTAGAGTAACGACACCAAAGAATTGTCGATGGGATGACAAGTCTCCGCCTGCGCTGACTATGGCGCATTGCTTGTTATATGCCATGGTGCGTCCATCTGCCAATGATTCATTCTAATAGCTCTAACTTGCCAAGTCTGCTGCTTTTACTGTGGCCAACCTTTACTACAACCAGCCTATTCTCAACAAGATAGCTGCCGACTTTAAAGTCACTTATGAGGAATCATCTCAAGTTGCAACCCTGCTACAGTCAGGTTACGCTGCGGGACTTGTATTCGTCTTGCCGTTGGGTGACATTCTCGAGAGACGGCCTTTCATTATCTCACTCATCATTGTTACTGCGACTCTTGTAAGTTGTCTTTATAACCCAATAGTCACTCACTTACACAAACTTAGTGGATAGGTCTCTGTGTGACCAACGACTTTACAGTCTTTCGCGCCCTGTCTTTTATATGCGGTGTTACCACAGTCACGCCTCAATTGATGATCCCCCTCGTGGGAGACTTTGCTCCTCCACGTCGAAAGGCATCTCTCCTGGCCATTGTCGTTTCTGGACTCATGCTTGGTCTCTTAATGGCCAGGTTCCTGTCTGGAGTTGTCTCCAACTTTACCAGTTGGCGCAACATTTACTGGTTCTCTTGCGGTGCCCAGTATCTACTCGCCTTGGTGCTCTTCTTTTTCATGCCTGATTATCCATCTACTAACCCAGACGGTCTCAACTATTTCCGCGCGCTTTGGTCGATTCCTTATATGATGGCTACAGAGCCGGTTCTTATCCAGTCTTGCCTCATCGCTTTTACCCTCTCGACCATCTTTACTTCGTTCTGGACAACCCTCACCTTCTTGTTGGCGTCTCCCCCTTACGACTACTCATCACTACAAATTGGTCTCTTTTCTCTGACTGCGATCGCAACCATTATTTCAATCCCGCTGATTGGAAGGCTCATCGATCGTTACGTGCCCCTGCTGTCAACAATCGCCGGCCAGATCCTCGCCCTAATCGGCACTCTTGTTGGCACATTCATCAGCAAGTCTACAGTGGCAGGCCCCATCATCCAGGCCATCGGCATCGACATTGGCATGCAAACAGCTCAAGTAGCAAACCGCGCCGCCATCTTCAACATCAATCCCAGGGCGCGCAACCGAGTAAACACGGCATACATGGCTTTGGCGTTTGTCGGCCAGTTGACGGGTACGGCTGTTGGAAACAAGCTATATGCCGATGGAGGTTGGAAACGAAGTGGCGCTTGTAGCAGTAAGTCGAGACACATTAACTTTTTAACGGCATTTGCTCATTCAGTTCAGTTGCCTTTGTAGTGGCTTCAATCATCATTTCCCTGGTGAGGGGCCCTAGAGAGACGGGTTGGGTTGGATGGACAGGGGGATGGCATCCACGAAGAGATGATATACCACCTCCTGCTCCACGGGATGAGGAGACGAGTCAGCCAGGACCTGGAAAGGAATAGGCCAGTAACGACCCATTTGACATAGAATTACATCGAATTAGCGTACTTCTATACTCATCAGTCATTTGGCACAACACTACACGATCAGTGCCTCTTGGACCACAATTCGTTGACATAGCAAGACATGACGCACAATCTTGGCACAATACTTGAGCATCCAATCGTAGATTTTCATGATTTAATCCGACTCTGCCTTCTTTTTAAGTACTACGCCGTGTCTCCTAGTCCTTTTCCCCTTACTCCATCCCATCATTGTCTAGGCAACTCTCGTCCACCCTTTACCTCTTCTTGCCCTTTCGCTTGTTGGCCTTGGCTTGTTGAACACCAGAAGCCTTGCTCTTGCTAAGCGAGTCGGTGCTCTTGTCGAGGAGTTCAAAGTCCTCACCGGCAGAGTCGGTGCTGGGTGTTCGCTGGGGAACATCAGAGTCATCATCATCGGCGGGAATCTCAATCTCAAGCTCGGGGGTCTTCTTGGACAGGAAGCGGCCGGCGGTGATGTTGAAGAACCAGATGGGAACACGGACAACGGCGGTGTCGCTGAAGGTGGGCTTGGCGAGCTCGTTGGGCTGTGCGGTGTTAGTTTGGTTACATCCATTGGCTTAAGACAACTTACATCAAGGAGGAACTCGTTAACCTGGCCTTCCTCGTCTTCCTCCTCGAGGTACACATCTCCAAGAGAGTCAACCACAAGGATCTTGCCATTCTCAGCCACAACCCTTCGGCGAGCACCAGTAGGACCAGCAGTATCAGGGGTAGCAGTTCCAGAGGCAGGCTGGGGAGCCCGACGGGTCTTCTTAGGAGCGGGGCGACCTCCCTCACGCTTGGCAGCCTTCTCCTGCATACGGCGCTCTCGTCGGTTCTGAGGAATAGGAGGAGGGGCTTCCTCATCGTCAGAGGGAACAGGGGCGGGAGCGGGAGCAGGGGCAGCGTCGACGCCGGGGATGTTGAGACCGCCACCCCAGGCCGTGTCACGGGCAAACTTGATGTAGCGCTCGACAAACTCCTTCTGACGCTTCCAGCTCATGTACAGGGTCAGGTAGTGAATACCACCTCCAACAACAAAGAACAGGCCAATCATGACAGTACCCAGACCAGGTCTGTAACGGTTGTAGTAGTAGTCGGTACCCTTCCACAGAGGGAAGCCATTGGAGAGGAAATGATCATATCGGTCGCGCTCGGGTCCGCGCAGGATGTTGGCGATCAGAGACAGACGAGCCTGAGCCTCACCAGCCTTCTTAACAGCGGTCTTGATCTCAGCAGGAGTGGGAGGCTTAGCACCAGCCTTCTTGTCCTTGCCGGCCTTGGCGCGCATCTGCTGCTTGACCTTGTCGGGGTGCAGAGAGCGCGTCTTCTTGCGGTAGGCCTTTGTGATGTCGTCGAGCGAGGCAGAGTTGGAGATGCCGAGGATGTCGTAAAAGGTCGCGGCGGGATCGGGCTCGAAGCGGGAGATTTCATCGCGAATGCGAAAGATTTCGCGATCTACCAGATATTAGAGTCGCTAATAGAGACAGTGTAGCTGGTCAACATACCCTCCTTGCTCCAAGCAGCAGCCAAGGGGCTGAACAGGGCGAGAAGCCCAACAGACAAGTACGAGATCTTCATCTTTGCCTGACAATGTAGGAGGGAAACCTAGAGAGGACAAGAAAAAAAAAAGGGTTCCAAAGTTAGAACAAGGCCAGCTGTCCAAAAGTACAAGGCGTCAAGCCTCAACTTGTGTGTCTGGCTGAGAGAGAAGCCCAATGCACCGAGAAAAGCAAGGCGCCGCAAACGCAAAAGTTTGCACGGGCGGGAATTGGCTAAAGCGCAAGTGTTTGGGTACTCGAAAACAGAAGCTGACTGAGGTTTCTTGAATGTCGTGGCCTTTAAAAAGGGTCGATAATAGAGAGAATGGCCGAGACCCCTTGCGTTTTTACAGGGAATATTTTAGCCTGACAGGGGGAGGGGACTAATTGAGATGCATGTGTTGGAGGAAAAAAGTAGACGTCAGAATTATAAAAGTCACGGGTTTATTGACTTTGATGTCTAAACAAAGGCTAATATGATTCAAAACATGACTATCAAACAGTTCAAGTCTTTTATAATTTTTCCCATTTATGATTAACACAATGTTTAAAGCATTCAAGCATCTATAGACAAGTAACTGTATTCGAGCTGCCCGCTTCTTTCTGTCCACCCCTAGACAAGCACAGTCTCCGTACCTGGGGCAGAGTCCAGCCACAAGAGATCGTCTCAAGCCACGTTTCCAAATATCATGATAGATTCGGGCTAGGAGTCGATAGTCTATTGTAACCCGTGATAAGTTCAGCTGTGTCTCTCCTTTTCGAAGCCTTCACCAGGTGTCGTTGTCAACATGCACTCAAAATCAGTTCGAGAAATGCCGACTAAAGAGAGAGAGAGATTTGGTTGTGGGATTTCACCTGAGCCGTCGATATTCGCTGTCAACTTGGTGAATCATGACCTCGTTCTGCTGTGCCTAGAGTTAATTCTGCCCCTATGCATTCTTCTCAATCTCAGTCAACCCCCTCACAAACCAACACAGAACCACTCTCAACCCCAATTGAGCATATCCAGCACAAATCAAGCTCAGCTCAATCAGTCGAAACCACATCATCCAAATCTACACACATCTTCTCTCCCTCCTGCAAGTATCGCCTAAAAAACTCACGCTGCCGAGCAAGTCCATACAAGCTACCCCCACATCCATGTTCACCCCCAGGAATCAACACCAACTCGTAATTCTTTCCAGCCTTGTTCAATGCCTTGACAAATTGAAACGTCGAAGACGGATCAACATTGTCATCAAGCTCCCCGACAATCAGCATCAGCGCCCCTCGTAACTTGGCCGCGTGCGTCACGTTGGACGACTCTGCGTACGCCTCGTCGACGGGGTAGCCCATCCACAGCTCGTTCCACCACAGTTTATCCATGCGGTTATCGTGACATCCAGAGTCAGCTGCCGCAGCTTTGTAAAAGTCGCCGTAGTGCAGGAGAGCTGCAGCCGCACTCTGTCCGCCGGCTGATCCTCCCATGATGCCTACGCGGGACAGGTCCAGCCACGGGCGAGCTTCTGCTGCGGCTTTGAGCCAGGCTATGTGATCTGGAAGACCAGAGTCGTGAAGGTTCTTGTAGCAGACGTCGTGAAAGGCTTTGTTGCGGTGACTTGTCCCCATACCGTCGATTTGTACCACGACGTAACCCTGGTCTGCCCATTTCCGCTGTCTGGCGAGAGCTGAAAAGGCCTTTGGGACATGGAAGTCGTGAGGTCCAGCGTATATGTCATCAAGAACAGGGTATTTCTTGTTGCTGTCAAACTCGACAGGACGAATGATGATTCCGTATATCATGGTTTCGCCATCTCGACCAGGAGCTGCAAACCTCTCAGGCGGAGCCCAACCATCCTTCTCCAGCTCATCCATGGACGTCTTGCTGAGTTCCAGCAACATCTCGCCAGAAGCCCCATCACGTAGGACTGTCGTCGGCACCAAATCCACTCTCGACCAAGTATCGATCAAGAAGCGCTTGTCTGGAGACCAAGCCCACGAATGGGTTCCATCTCCTTCTGTAAGGATCTTAAAGTCAGACCCGTCAAAGTTGACGCAGCAGAGATGTTTGTGATACGGCTCCTCTTCAGGCTGGACTCCATAGCCCTGGAACCATATACGACGTTCGTCTTCCTTGACAAATTGGACATCGCCAACTGACCAAGATCCCTTGGTTATCTGGTTGCTGATGGTACCTTGGGCGAGATCAACCAGATAGAGTTGGTTGTATCCATCGCGCTCACTCGACCACACAAGCCCGTCTGATTCCTCGAGGAGCTTGACGTACAGCTTTGTGTAGTCGACGAAAGTGCTGCTCTGCTCTTCAACAAGAGTCCTTACTTGTCCGTCGATGCCGATCCCGATCACCCTGAGATGTTGATGACCACGCTCATTAAAGAGAAAACGGTACTCGTGGCCACTCTTGCTCCATCCCAGATCCCGTATCTTGTAGGGGTTCCTGAACAGTACGTTGTCTGTTGGGATCTCACGATGACTTTCCAGGTCAAAGAGGCGAGGCCTGTTGATTCTCACCCTGTCCCCTGGCTTCAGATATTGAACAGTGTGCAGCTTCGGTTCGATCTGGTCATCTGGAGATGATTCCACGAGGTGTATCTTGTGATCCTGCTCGGGGGTGTATTGCCACGCAACCGCATACCGGTTGTTGGGTGACATGTGCAGTTGACCCTCGTCGTACGGATGTTCCTCGCTGCCATATTCAGACAACTGTTTGTCCTGGCCGTCCTTCTTTCCAAACCAAACGTTGGAGTTCTTGACGTAGAGTTGAGGTTCAGTCGTCGAAGCAGTTGATTCGTCCTCCTCGTCCTCCTCGATATTGTCGTCATTGTTCGACGAAGAAGCTTCCTCGTCCAAATCGACAAGATTCTTGATAACGACGACATCGGTACGCTGATCCGGTGCAGCATAAATGGCCCGAAACCTCTCATCCAACGCATCTACGAATCGCCAGACATGGCCAACGTAGGTTTCTTGACGCACTGTCCCGCCGTTATGGATGGTGTGATACCATATCGGTTCGCCATCCCAGTCGATCCAGAATGCTTTGATGGTTGTTCCGGTACGGTTGACAAAGTCGACAGTTATCTCAGTGTCGCCGTTGGAAGAGGGTATTTCTCTTGGTAGAAACTGGTTCGACTGATCCGAGGAGAGTTCGCCTTCCCATTGTCTCAGGTCATTTCCAGGCCCATACTCCCAGTTCTTATCGGCAAAACGGAACCGGACAGATGAAGTTTCGGGGATGTACTCAATCCAGGTGAACGGAAGAGCATTCTCGTCTAACTTCTCGCCCGTCTTTTCTTCCAGAGCCTCGGCCAGCTGCTTGTGGTCAAAGGCGACATCACTCCGCCTCTCGACGGCGTCAACCAGGACAAATTGGAACTTGCCAGGCTCGGAAAAGTGTCGATACCAGAATTTGGTCCCGTCTGGCAGCCATTCAGGCTTCACCGTGGTGGTCTCGATCCATTTCTGTGCTATTTTCTCCATGGCTTGAGGTGGTTGGTGCTTTTGAGAGGAAACAGATGCTTGACTAAGTTGAAAGGCTGTGAGACATGGTTAAATTCGTGAGGGGATTGCCATGTTGGCTGCCTAGCATGTAAGCGGCCACTCTGGCGTTTAGGATGCATGAGTGCCTGATTTTTGGGCAACATAATCGGCGATTGAGAATCATTGGCTTGATTCGACATTGGGAAGTTTTCTTCCAGCGAAGGAGTTGGGGAGATTTTGGTCGCATGGCAGATGGGGAGAAGTCACAGAAATATGAGGGTTATTAACGACAACAGCAACACACGGACGAGAACAGAACAATAGCGCAAATCAAAGTAATGTACTTCAAGAACGGCTGAATATATATTTGATGAGCTTTTCTGGTCAAAGGGTTTAAAAGAATCACCAACATAAATTGTATAGGTGTTAGTTTAGGGTAGTTGTTTTCCCAGGGCATAACAAGCAACCCAAACAGAGAGGACGGCTCAAAGACATGCATGGTAGGTAGAATCTTTTGTAGCGAGAATCTCCTTGGACAAATAGTCTTATTAATCGGCCTATCACATAACAACGCTATAGTTATGCGAGCCTGTTTATTTCTATTTGTTCTCTTTGACTCTTGAAATGGGCGGCGACGAAGGCTTGATCACCCTAGTTTCAGAGGCCAACTTTACAATATCTTAATCAATGATAATTTAGCCCTGTTTAATCATCTGGGTAATTAAATAGGATGATTGAATTCTTTCTATCTAATTTTGCACTTCATATCTCATCTCTAGAGCCAAATATGAACAAAAGAAAAGGCGGATATTTTGCCGTTTTGTAACCCGACCCCGACACGCCCGGATAGAACTGTCAGCTTACCCGACGATACCGACAGTCCTTCTCAACCAATGAGGGAAACGGATCGGCATGGAAGCCGAGAAAACCGTAGAAGCGGAAACGGCGGGCGTCAAGTATAATCTCACCTTGTAGGAAATCTTACAGGGTGTCCAAACATGCACGCAAGCGGGTTGATTGCGTCAAACCCCCCAAAGCTCCTGACCGAACTCCCCGGCGGCGATCGTATCAACGGCGTAAACCCTGCCACATGGGATGGGATTTGTATAATCTCCGACAAGGGGATACGAGGGAAGTACGTCTTGTTGACATTTGACAGTCAGCGCCACGTACAACGTAACGCTTGATTAGTTGCCGTGTTGCGCCTTTGGCGGCTTCGCTAGATTTGAACCCTGGACGGTTTCAGCTGCAGGGCATCGGACTTGGCTGCGACTTGAGGGCATCAAGGGAGACGAGCTATTGTTGCTATGGCTACTATTCTGCCAGTTATGCTTGGAGAACATTCACTAAATGGAATCCCCTGGTCGCCTTCATTCACGAACACCTCCTCATTCATCGTCGTAAGCTCAACTGTCACCGTACCAGAGCCCGTCGGATGAGCCAAGGCTTCACCGATGAATCACACGGCAAGTTAATAATCACACCTCAACAAACGGTCCGAGGCCATCAACGTTATGCAAGATAAGCCCTCGACCTAACATGGGCCAGCTCTTGGCATTATCACGAGCAGTTGCATTTCGTCTGCCGGGGCTTTTGTCCGTCTGATCGGCCGAAACGTATTAGTCGACGAATCTAAAGATGAAGAAAGAATTCCATGCCCCAGGACGAAAGAGGATACAGGTGTCTGTCTGCCGCTGATAAACCATCCACCGTGAATCAGCTTTCAACGTTGAGGAGCTTCCCCTGCTTACAGACCCGGCCTCACGCAGATCCCTTTACTGCTTTGGGTTGGACTGGCACTAGGAGTTATGCCGTGCTTACCAATACGACGTCGTCCCAACAGTACAGGAGCAACACACAAATCTTTTGTCTCTGAGAGATTCACACTCACCGTCGCGGCTCTGCGGCTCTGGACCCTCAAAGTGAGACCTGGACGCCCTACGCTTACCCTCCCCTGTCCTAAATCCGCAGATTATGTCCGAAGCGAAAAGATCTTCATCTTCGGCCTGATTCCGTTGGATGTGCTCCAAGTGGGCCAGACTCAGATATCCCGAGTCAGGATCTCCATCTTGCTCTCAACGCCACGTTTATGACTGGTCCGGAGCCTTGTCGGAAACAAGAAGCTAACTCCAGGGCAGACCGTGTTAGTCCGTTTCTGGGACAAGACTCATCATGATGCATGGTGGGTGTTGATTTTGACAGCAACACTACGAGGCATGCCCCTAGTGTGGGCATCTCGCCTGCAAGCCCCCAGGCAATCTTGCATCATTGATTAAAAATGTGCACATTAGTGATACGCCCAGAGGCCAATACGCAACGGGATGGCTATAAATCCACTGCAGCCGGGTCAATGGACTTGATTCAGAGACAAGGTTCACGGCCTTACTGGCTTATCTCCACAGGTTTTGTATCTTGAACTCGAGCAGCATATCTATAACAGTCGAGGCATCGCCTCAATAATACACCTGCATTCACGTCTCGTGTAAAGAGCACAACCCATACAAATCAACCGTCAACATGTTGGGCAACACTGTGGACGGCGATGCTCTTCGCCGGACAGAATCGTCCATGCAACAACAACACCCTCCCCAAGATGATCATCGACGAAACGAAGCAGGCAGTGATGCCTCCTCATCAGATGTCGCCCCCGAAGGAAAATGGGGTGAGCGCAACCAAGAAGACGTCCACGAGCAGGACGCCATGCACGAGTTTGAGTCTCTCCGACACAATCTCATGAGCCTGCACAAGACGAGAACTGGCGAATCACACGTCAGCAAGGCACACACGACAAAGAGCAGAACCAGCCACGCCGCTTCTCGCATTCAGTCAAGACGACAGCAGCGTGCTGAGGACGACGACTCAGTCACCGATGTTGAAGCCGGTCCCAATGAAGATGATGTGTTTGAGCTTGGAGAGTTTATGCGCGAAGGGCACTTTGAGAAGCGCAGCGAAGATGGTTCTCTCAAGCGTGTTGGAGTCGTCTACGAGAATCTCACCGTCAAGGGTATCGGAAGCACCACCTCATTTGTTCGGACCGTCCCCGATGCCATCCTTGGCACCTTTGGTCCCGATCTCTACCGTCTGGTTTCTCAGTTCATCCCCGCCTTTCGATTTGGCCAGCCTCCCACTCGAACATTGATCAATGACTTTACCGGCTGTGTTCGAGATGGCGAGATGATGCTCGTTCTGGGCCGTCCCGGTGCTGGATGCAGTACCTTTTTGAAAGCCATCAGCAACAACCGCGAGTCGTTTGCAGCTGTCGAAGGAGACGTCTCTTACAGCGGTATCCCTGCGGACGAGCAGAAGAAGCTGTATCGAGGAGAGGTCAACTACAACGGCGAAGACGACATCCACTTTGCTACCCTCAGCGTGTGGAAGACTCTGGCCTTTGCCCTCATGAACAAGACCAAGAGGAAGGAAAAGGCAGACATCCCAGTCATCGTCGACGCCCTCATGAAGATGTTTGGAATCAGCCATACCAAGAACACCGTCGTTGGTGATGACTTCACCCGTGGTGTTTCTGGTGGTGAGAGGAAGCGAGTCTCCATCGCAGAGACTCTAGCCTCCAAGTCGACCGTCATGGCCTGGGACAACTCGACTCGAGGTCTTGATGCCTCGACTGCCCTCGATTACGCTCGATCCCTTCGAATCATGACTGATATCAGCAACCGGACGACTTTGGTCACTCTCTATCAAGCTGGTGAAGGCATCTACGAGCTTATGGACAAGGTCTTGGTCATCGACCAGGGACGACAGATCTTTTCGGGTCCTGCCAACAAAGCCAAGCAGTACTTTATCGATCTCGGCTTCGAGTGCCCCGAGCGACAGACCACGGCCGATTTCTTGACCGCCGTCACGGACCCTACTGAGCGCCGCTTCCGGCCCGGCTTTGAGCACCGAGCTCCCCGGACCCCTGAGGAGCTTGAGTCGGCTTTCCGAAACTCGCCCAACTACCAGGAGCTCCTCGACGACGTTGCTGCATACAAGGAGTCCCTTCATCAGTCTGACTATCAGGATGCCAAGAGATTTCAGGGTGCTGTGCAGGAGGCCAAGTCCAAGCACGTCTCGGACAAGTCGCCCTACACCATCTCTTTCATCCGACAGGTTATTGCTTGTACTCAGCGAGAAGCTTGGCTTCTCTTTGGCGATACCACAACTCTCTGGACAAAGCTCTTCATCATCATCTCCAACGGTCTGATCGTGGGTTCTCTGTTTTACGGACAGCCCACCAACACTGCAGGTGCTTTCAGTCGCGGCGGTGCTCTCTTCTTTTCGATTCTCTTCCTCGGTTGGCTTCAGTTGTCTGAACTCATGAAGGCCGTGTCTGGACGTTCAGTAGTTGCTCGTCATCATGACTACGCCTTCTACCGTCCATCCGCCGTCTCTCTCGCCCGAGTTGTGCTCGATTTCCCCGTCATCTTCGTCCAGGTTTGCATCTTTGGCATAATCATGTACTTCATGACGGGCCTTGACGTGGACGCTTCCAAGTTCTGGATCTACCTGCTCTTTGTGTACACCACCACAATCATGGTCACGGCACTGTACCGCATGTTTGCTAGCTTGTCCCCCGAGATCAACACTGCTGTGCGGTTCTCTGGCATCTCGCTCAATCTGCTCATCATCTACACCGGATACGTCATTCCCAAGACTCAGCTTCTGAAGGACTATATCTGGTTTGGTTGGATTTACTGGATCAACCCTCTCAGCTACAGTTTTGAGGCTGTTATGGCCAACGAGCTGTCGGACCGTCTCATGGACTGTGCCCCTGAGCAGCTTGTCCCTCAGGGACCTGGGGTTCAGTCAAGGTACCAAGGATGTGCCATCAGCGGAGCCGGAGTCAATGAGCGACAGGTTACTGGCAGTGACTATTTGGAGATCACGTACAACTACACTCGTGGGCATCTCTGGCGCAACTTTGGTGTGGTCATTGCCTTTGCCGTTCTCTACATCATCGTCACCGTCATCGCCACTGAGATGGTTAGCTTTGCTGCTGGAGGAGG